ATTATTATTATTATTATTATTATTATTATTATTATTATTATTTATTTCTTATATTATTTGTTAAAATAAATATAAATTTAAATCCCAAACCATTTACAATGCCAAAAATCATCCAAACTCAAATCTGTCAATCGTTCAAAACGTGCTATTGATTTCCTTTTTTTCATTTTATAAACCAAAATTTCGTTATAAACTAACGTTATAGCCTATAAAAGGATGGTTGAGCCCCATTTTCCTCCCAAAAAAATGTATTTTTGAATAGTGTATTGATAGAAAATGTATGGTTAAAAAGTAGGAAAAAATTGAGGTTTTATGTAATATTATTTTATTAAAAAATGTGATTAAAATGATGTTAAAATACTATTTAAGAATGCTTTTTTTTTTTTTGTTTAAATATGGGTGCTCAAATAAGGACTAAATCGTTCACGAGAAAAAAAAAAACAAAGAATCAATCAATAAAATCCATATGAATTGGACAACTAATAACACATTCATACATACATACATAAAAATTAAACAATTTTGCTGCGTGTATATTGATTTTGTAAAGACATATGCATGCGTATGTCCATTGATTTGAATACATGCTATGCATGCATGCATCTGTCAACCTAGTTGTACAAAATTAATGTACAAGTAAGTTAATTCAAAATTATAACAATGATGTATCACGACTAAAAATCAATTATTGTAAATACGGTAAAAAATCGAGCCCGCCGTTGTACATTAACTCTAAAAACATTAGAATGTAAATGGATTTGCTATATTAAGCAAATAAATTGAATTAGCTAACTAATTAATTAACATTAGAATTAAAAACTTTAGATAATCCTCAAGTCTAATTTATTTTTTTCTATAAAAATTCTAATCAATCAATTTCTAAATGTGAGACTCTCCAATTAAATTATAACTTTAGAGCTCCAAATCTCAATCTTTTAAGCTTAGAGCAATTAAATTTCCTGGATTATTAATTGCGTTGAATTTATTTGTACAATTGGGATTCATGAAATTCATTTATCTGGACACAAATCATGAAACTCAAGAGGTACAATCGATTTTTAAATTAAAAATGGAAAATTTTATAGAAAATAATTAAAGAAAGTATAGTCCAGCAAGTTCACATCCTCCCAAGCCATGAGATGGGACCCTCTGGAGTTGGTGAAGATCGAAAAT